GACTTGGCCATGAATTCATGGCCTACTCTGATGTCCAGAAGGGACTACATTTTCTTCTAGGATTCTTACAATTTGATGTTTTATATATAAATCGTCGATACATTTTTAAGTTGATTTTTTTATATGATGATAAATAAGGGTCTGGTTTCATTCTTTTGCATGTGGTTAACCAGTTTTCCCAGCACCATTTGCTAAACATGGTCTCCTTTCCCAATGATTGTCAAAGATGAGTTAGTTGAGATACTGTGTTTTTACTTTCAGAATCTCTGTCCTATTCCATTGGTCTATGTACCTATTCCTGTACCAGTACCATGCTGTCTTGGTTACTGTAACCTTGTAATAAAGTCTGATACCTCCTGCTTTGTTTCTTTTGCTGAGGATTGTTTTGGCTATTCATGCTCTTTTTTGTTTTCATATGAATTTCGGTATTGTCATTTCTAGGTCTGTGAAAAATGATGTTGGTAATTTGATGAGTATTGCATTGAATCCATAGATTGCCTTGGGTTGGATAGACATCTTGACAGTACTGATTTTTCCAGTCCATGAACATGGGATGTTTTTCCAATTGCTTGTGTCAACCTTGATTTCTTTGAGCAGCATTTTGCAGTTCTTATTGTAAAAGTCTTTCATTTCTCTGAATATGTGTATGCCAAGGTATTTCATTTGTGTGTGGGTGGGGGGATATTGTAAATGGAATATGTTTTTCATTTGGTTCTTTACATGCTTGTTGTTGGTGTATAGAAATGCAACTCTCTTTTGCAAGGTACTGTGTAACCCGAGACTTTACGAAAGGCATTATCAGTGCTAGGTTTCTGACAGACTCCTAGGGTTTTCTAGGTATAGAGTCATACTGCACGCCAAGAGGGATAGCTTAACTTCTTCTTTTCCTATTTGGATACCCCTGATTTTTCTCTCTTTCTTGATTGCTCTGGCTTGGATTTCCAGCACTGTGTTGAATAGAGGGGTGAGAGGTGGCATCCTTATCTTGTTCTAGTTCTTAGAGGGAATGCATCCAGCTTCTGCCCATTGAGCCAAATGTTAGCTGTAAGTTTATGATAGATGGCTCTTATTGTTTTGAGGAATGCTCCTTCTTTGCCTAGGTATTCGAGGGTTTTTGTCAAGAAGGGAGGCTGGATTTTGTTAAATGCTTTTTCTGGATCTAATGAGATAATCATGTGGTTCTTGGTTTTACATCTGTTAATGTGCTGAGTTACGTTTATTGTCTCGTGAATGTTGAACTAGCCCAGCATCCTGGGAATGAAACCCACCTGGTCATGTTGGATGATCCTTCAGACGTGTTATTGGATCCAGTTTGCTAGAATCTTGTTGATAATTTTTGCATCTATGTTCTTTAAGGAGATTGGCCTGTAATTCTCGTTCCTTGTTGGGATTGGATTGGATCAGTATGATGTTAGCTTCATAAAATGAAGTAGGGAGAATTCTCAGTTACTTGGAATACTTTCAGTAAGATTGGTATCAGCTCCTCTTTATATACCTTGTAGAATTCAGCTGGGAGGCCATCTGGTCTAGGGCTTCTTTTGGTGGGGCGGTTTCTTACAACTGAGTCAATTTCCTGGATTGTTATTGGTCTAAATAGAGTTTCAGTTTCTTCTTGTTTCAACCTTGGGAGGTAGTGTGACACCAGAAAATCCTCCATTTCCTTTAGGTTTTCTAGTTTATTTGCATACTGATATTCATAGTAATCTCTGATAATCTTTTAAATTTCTTCAGGGTCAGTTGTGACTTTGCCTTCTTCATTTCTAATTGTGTTTACTTGGACTTTCTCTTTTTTTAGTCAATCTGCCCAGGGGTTCTCAAACTTGGTTATCCTTTCAAAGGACCAGCTTTTTGTCTTATTGATCCTTTCAATGATATTTTTCTCTTCTGTAGTCTGCAATTGTGCCCTTATCTTAGTGATCTGAATTTTTCTGAAGTTAGGAGCTCTATGATCTTTTCTTTCCAGTTCCCTTAGGTGTGATGTTAGGTTGTTTACATGTGATCTTTCTATTTTCTTGATGTGTGCATGCCGTGCTATCAATTTTCCTCTCAACACTATTTTCATGGCATCCCAGAGATTCTGATAAGATGTGTCTTTGTTTTCGTTTATTTCCAGGAAACTTTTTATTTCTGTCTTGATTTCTGTGTTGACTCAGAAGTCGTTCAGCTGCATGTTGCTTAGTGTCCATCTCTTTATGTGTTTTGGGGGGATCTTGGTGGCAGCGATATTTTTTTTTATCCTGCTGTGATCTGAGAAGATACATGGTATTATTTTGACCTTTTGAAATTGGTTCACACTAGATTTGTTCAGACTTGCAAACAAGAATATATACAAATGAGGACTCACAAAAAAACTATAATTATCTTTATATGGTATTCTTGAAATTTGTTCCTCTAGATCAAATGGTCAACTAAAGGTCTTATCTGGAAGTTTTGAGGAGATTGTGTCATGGTTTTCGAAAGAAACATCCTGAGTTTTGGCAAGCAGGTGACTGGTTTTTCTGCCATGACAAGGCACTAGCCCTCACCACGATGACTGTTAAGCAGTTTTTGACCAAAAATACCATGACCTCCAATGCCCCACCCTCCCTATTCAACCAATCTTGCCCTGAACTATGGTTTTTTGTTTCCTCGGATTTAAAAAGTCCTGAAAGGGAAACATTTTGCTGATGTGAAAGGGGTGAAACAAAAAATGGCAGAAGCACTAAAAGGCATCAAAATGGGCAAGTTCAAAACTGGGGAGTGGACAAAGCATCTCAGTAGGTGTATTGGGTAAAGTTCTGAGCTAGCTTTGCTGGAATATACTTGATTGTCTTTTCATGGTCCCAAGATGTCTGCTATAGCTCTGTGTGTCACATTCTTACACAGTAATACTCGAGTGCCTGTTTTTCTAAAAAAAGGAATTCTTTGTCAGAAATACCCCAGACTTTCCTTATGTTTTATTGGCTAGATTTGGGTTACTTGTCCCTACCTAAGTGTAAAGAAATGGGATTAACCAGATTGGTTCAGACTAATCAAGGTTTTCTTCTTGTGATAAGAGATTAGGATACATTTCCCTGAATATGTGACAAGTGATCATCTGAACACAAGCAATGCGGAAAGTAGATGGTGTGTAAATGATATGGGTAGTTGTATTATATATTTTAAAGTATCACTAAAACCCAGGCTTTCCAAATTATGGAAAATTCAAATATTTGCCAAATATTATTATTCACGTGTTGGCATATGGCCCACAGGATGGAAATTACAAATGATTCCCTACTTAAGAATTTTTTATTGTACAATGGCACTAAAATGATACTTATTCATTATGCTCCTTATCTTACAATGCAGTTACATCCTGTTAAACCCATTATAAATTGAAAATATCTTAAGTTGAAAGTACATTTTCGGGCCGGGCTCGGTGGTTCAGCCTGTACTCTTAGCACTTTGGGAGACCGAGACGAGTGGATTGTCTGAGCCCGTGGGTTCGAGACCCGCCTGGGCAACTTGGCGAGACCTCATCTCTACAATAAATCAAAATAATTAGCCAGGCGTGGTAGTGCGCGCCTGTAGTTCCGGATATTTGGAAGGCTGAGGTGGAAGGATCACTGGAGACCAGCAGATTGAGGCTGCGGTGGCTGGGAGCGTGCCACTGCACTCCAGTCTGGGCGATAGAGTGAGACTCCAACTCAGAAAAAAACGAAAAAAAAAAGAGTACGTTTTCAAAAATACTGTGATAGGTTTATGGGGATCTAACCATATCTTAAATTGTAAATTTAATTCTGGAATTACCATAGGATGGAATAAGTAATGTACTTGCATTACAATAAGTGTTTATCATTATATTTTTTCTTTATATACCTCTTTTATATGTTAAAAAGGAAGTCCTATTTTAGTGAATTCCAAGAGATTCCCAGTTGACTTGTTTATATATTGAACTTTGTTTCAGTGACTATCCTTTTTCATAGGAATGAGAAATATGTCTGTATTAAGCCACCACAGCCTTGACCTGCTGGGCTCAGGTGATCTTTCCACCTCAGCCTTCCAAGTAGCTGGTACTACAGGCATGTGCCACTATGCCAGACTAGAGATTTTTGTTTTTAATTAGATTTTATTTTGTGTAAGGAAGTTCAAATGATCTGATTGCAATTAAGAAAAACTTTGAATGTTGGTAAATATTTTTAAAGTGGAAATATTTTTAACTCAATGCAATAATCAAGACATAGGTTTTCCTATAATAAAGTATATTTACCTCCAGTGGAGTTGTTTAACAAGTAATATGTTTATTTTCCAGTTTCCACACTAAGGGAAAATTCTCTTTATCAAACTTTTCATTCTTTTTTTTTTTTTTTGAAATTGATGATATTTGAGATTCAAAGTTTACATAATAGGTACATTACTTTGCGTGCTTTGAATAGAATCATGTAAAATGAGATGGTCAGATGCATCTTATAAAAGGAGAGAGATCCTTTAGAACATTTCACTTCAATTAAGTCAACACATCTTGAAAGAGACTTCATGGCATTGCACATGTGAACAGACATCCTGACAGATGAAATAGTGAATTTAATGTCCAGTAGAGTCCCATCCAAAATGCATATGAGAAACTGTGCTGCAGTCACTGTAGTACCATAATAGTTTAGGGAAATACTATAAATTTAGCAGTCGTATTCTTTATATACTGTTTATTGCTATATATGTTCTACATTTATATACTTAATATAAACATAGTTTGCTTTATGAACAATATAAGAGATTGCCAAGGGTAATTTGGATTATTCAAAATTCTAGCCTTTCTGGCTTGCAAGCCCAACCCCTGCATAAGATGAGAGATGACTGAATAGACCTTGATGTTTGCTGTAGACACTTTTTTTCTTCAGAAAAGTAGCCAGAACTATTTTTCAGTGCATGAGTTTTTTTATTCATTTGGCTTGGTGCCTCTTAAGAAAGCCCCTAATTAATTACCTTGTTGTTGTGTATTTACAGAATTCAACCATTGTAAAAATTGTGTTTTTGTCTAGGCAACTCAGTATAACTGCCACCAAAAATCTAAAGTGGAAAAATGCACATATGCTGATAAATATACCCAAACACCCTGGAGACGAATTTCTGTAAGTAACATGGACTCTTAATCTCCTCTCCTGTCTTTTGCTATTTTGATGTTTTATTCTACTCCTTTTACTCTAATCTCTAATAATTTTGAATCTGTCATGGCTGTAAATTTTTTTTCTTAAGTAGTTTGTTTTTGCTTGTCTCTTAGGTGTTCGTGTGCTTTAAAAGCTTCTCTTGTGTCTTATATAAGCGAATGTGCATTTAATAGCTTTTCCATTCTGCATACTATAGCTCATTTTATTGAGTGTCTACTCTCCTCTCACTGCATGTATTTATGAGAGTATTTTCCACATGCCTTAAAGGAAACAGGAATCCAGTATGCAGTCATCCCACTTTAGCAGCATATAACACTTTGAAAATATGTGATGTAGCATGTTCCTTTTTTTAATTGAAGCTTTTAAAATATGTTTGCTTTAATTACTCAAATGAATGTTGAAGGTGTTAGGAAATATAAATGCATCTATAGACAGAAAAGTTTATATTTTAGGCAGAATTAGGGAATGGTTTCTTCTGAGCAGTAGAAAGCAACCATGTATTCCATGCTTGTTTTCTGTTTTTTGAAAAATATTATGTCTCAAAACATTTAGTGCTAAAAATAACCTGACTGTAATTTAATCTGAGTTTGTCAGAATTCAGTTCAGGATATGGGTGAGCCAGAGCATCATCATATGGCCATTAGTCATCATTATTCTGTTATATGAAGTCAGATAATAGACATTTCTCATTATGCAAATGCCTAATAAGCCAGCCTTGACTCTTCTTTTGCTTATATTTAGCAGTGAAATCCTGGTAACAAATATGAAGAAGAGCATATAATGATTAATGTGGATAACAATCCAATTTATAAAATTTAGCTTATAGGCCTTTAAAGTTTATAAAATTATTTTGTTTCTTTTCATGTAACAGGTAATTATTTTTTGTGTGTTTATAAGGTATGATGGTAGGAATTAATTTATCCCACAAAAGTTTGATGATCTCTTATTTCAGATATTTGGCTCTTGAAGTTGAAGTGGGGAATTTGGGGAGGCAATACACAGACAAATAAAGATTTCTCCATTTATAAGTACTTATTAAAGGAACTGGCAATGCATTGATACAGTTAAAGTGCCATAAATCTATAGTTTGAAAGGATTGGGAAAGTCTAGTTGATGGAATTAAGGAGCTTGTTGAGGGTTATGATTGAGTCATAGAAAGCAAAAGATGGCAATAGACAGAGGTGATGTAACGGAATGTGGAAATTCATCTGCCTGGAGACAGATGAATCTTATATAAAAGATTGTGTCTTATGCCTCTAGATGGAGATTTCAGCTTTTCGGTTTCTCCAGCTTCCCAATTTTGTGCTTTCTGACTGTGTTATAAGATTGATGATTTCATTAAGCATGAGAAATTTCATTTTGTCATTCTCATGGAAGTCCAGCCCTCTCTGCTTCCCTCAATGTCATTGTTCTGTATAGTTGATATTAGTGTGTCTCCTCACCAGATAAAAGTAACTGGTGTAATGTTATCTAAGTATATTCTAGAATATATTCCTGAGTTAGTTTTACTATGATCTTGGCTAAAGTGAAAATCAGTTTTCCAGCCTAGCACTCTTAATAAACCCAGACTTAAACTTTTACTAATTACCTATGACTATAGAAATCACTTGACTAATTACCTTTGTTTTATAGATAAAGTAACAAAAGCCAGGAAGATTAAAAGGCATATTGAAGTTTCCATAATTCATAAGTGACTGAGCTAGTACTATACTGTGACGTAGGATTCCTGACTGCTGGTTCAAGGATTCTTTCCTCCAAAAGCACACTGAGGATCCTGGGAGGATGAGAGTTTTTTCGGATTAAAATGGGAGTAGTAGCCTTAGTTAAAAAAAAAAAAAAAAATACAGGCAAATAGGTGGAAGGTATAATTAGGCAGTAAGCACATGATTGTAGCTTGACCACAGATGTATATTTAGGGAAACAGTGGAAGTTAGTGTGAAAGCTTATTTTGAGGTTAAAGTCAAACTTTTAATCTAATAATTACTAAAAGGGTGGATTTAGTGGGTTTACTGAGTTGTAGTTACTTAGTTAAATAAGTAGCTATATCTTTATTTACTTAATTAAATAACAGTTATTAAATATTAGATTAAATATTGGGTTTACTCTGGTATTTTTTCTGCTTTTGAACTTAATTGAAATACATTTGAAGTGTATTATTTTGGAAATCATTTACTACAATTAACAATTGTTTTCTTTTTTCTTTACAAAGGATACACTTTAAGTGTTCTTTTTTAGCAGAACCAAACATGTTTAAACAAGATTTGGTAGGGATGTGGAGATGCAGTATGATTCTTCTCTGGAAACATTTAGCTTGTTAGGCAGTAATTTGGTGAGTTGAAACATGTTATGTTAAAGTCTCCAGGCTTAGTTTAAGTAAAAAGGTTTTTTTGGATCTGGTTAAGCCTTTGAGAAGGGTGAAAGTTACAATCTAAGTCTTGTTCTTCACCTTTCTTTTACTATCTTAGGAAATTTAAATGTCCTCTTGACACTGTCTTAACCACTTGATAATAGTAGAATTTGCCTCAGAGATTTGTAACACAAATGTGAACATTTCCTGTGAACATTTCCTTTGAACATTTCCTAGACATGATGGAAGAAATCTGGTTGCAATGGAAGGTGGAAAAGAATGTGGAGAAGAGTGGGTTACTGTCTGTAGAACTTGTTAGCAGCCATTTAGGAGGTGAAAAGAAATATGAAAAAAAAAAAAAAAAGAAACATCTTTCAGAATCTACCAGAGGAAGGAGAATGGTGAGCCACCAAAAGCATTAAAGCAATAGAAATTTTAACGGATTGAGCCCAATATAAATTTTCTGTATAGATTTTTCCAAAGGGATTTTGGTATTACCTAATGGCTGCAAATAAGATCTTTGTTGTAGAAAACCAACGGGAAATAACAGGAGGAAATAAAGTAGTAAAACTGGGGAAAGAAAGAAAAGCAGATATTCACTTACTCAGCAGATGTACTTACTCCAAGAAAACCACTGTCTTAATCTGAGAGTGGTAATATGAAGAAGAAACAGTCCCAGTCTTGAAAATGCTTATAGAACCCTCCAATATGCCTAAATGGTATTAATCTTGTTCTTTTCCTATACATGAAGAAGCTTAGACTAATATATGATTTAATGCAAGTACTTATACAGCATTCTTATGTGAGAAGCCGTATTTTCCAACTTGTAGGTAGTATATTGTTGCCTTCCTTTTGAGTGACTGTAGGAAGTCAGGTGGCTAGAAGGAATAGAGAGGAGGAAAAGGTCATAGCTTTGGGAAGGGAGGACAGAGGCTTAATATCATCAGTGAGGGATCATGATAAGGACTTACTTTTCTGAGGGAAAAAAAACAGGTGCTCAGGTATGCATTGTGTGATAGAGGTCTTTGCAGTCTATTGTGATAATCCACAGAAACATACTTGTATTTAAAATTCCTGGGAGAAAAGTATTTATGGTTGAAAAAGCATAGTTTCAGTAAGAATATAAGAGAAAAATCCTTTGCAACCAAGTTAGATTCAATCTATTGTTATTAGGAAGAAGCATGTTGACATAGTAAATGACATAAGTCATTTTCTCAATAGAAAGAATGATAAATTCAACACCACTTTTTAAAATAATGAAAAAAATTGGAATACCAAGGATACTTTATGAGTGACGTAGAGCTAAAGGTGAGGGGCATTCTAAAGTGGCTTTTTTCTTCCCTGTCCCTTTTTATAGGGAGGTATATTCATTCTCTAGCAAATAGAAAATAAATAAACAAAACAGTTTAATAAAAATTTAATTTACTCAAGTAATACCACTGGCAACCATTAACATTTTATATATGGTTTTTCCAGCCTTTTTGAGGTGAGACATTATCTATATGTGCATGTGCAGAGCTGTTGTACCTATTTAGTAGAATTATGTTGTACATACTTTATCTTAACCTGCCTAGGTAGTGGTAGTAGTGGTTGCTATAATTACTATTTGGTTTGACTTTTTGCTAAACCAAAATGGAAGGAATGTATCAGCTTTAATCAATTAAGAATGCATTTCCTTACTGGTCCTCTGTAAGTTTCTTGAAATACATTGCCACAATTTTCTCTGAAAGATTTATGTAGGTTTATACTGCCAGCAGCTAAGTACGATAAGAAAGTGGCTTGGTGGCCATGTTAGGTTGTGTGATTTACATGCATGTTTGATGCCATTGGGTTATGAAAGCCTGTGATATTTCCCTTTACAAAAGAAGATATACAAAAAAGTCCTCCTTGGTCAGGATACACAAAAAAGTCCACACAATTATTTCAGGTGGTACTAGGAGGCCACTCCCAACTATTTGTTATGACCATTCCTGCTACATGATGTTTTCTTACCTTGCAAATTCTACTTTCTTCCTCCTGGCCAAAGAAGCATCTGATTATGCTATTTTCTGTACAGATCCAACCTCAGCTTTTGTGCTTTGATTGTATATTTTGATCCACAGAAGCCTGGGAATGTCTTTTTTGCCTGCAGTAACATTTGGCTTTTATGCTACAGATACTTTTGGTGTTAGAGCTATATGATAAAGATCAAAACTGTTTTGGGTTGGTTTGAGTGTTACTTGTGAGGGTGAATCCAGCGAAGAAACGGTAGTTAATCATCTGCCGGGTGCTGTTCACTTAGGGTAAGATAAAGGTTTCTCCTACTGTACAGAGCCGCCTAAGGCATGTTGTAGGCATATTACAAGATACTTTTAGGTGTAAGTAATCAAGAACAGTGTTTTCCGCGTTGAGTACCAGTATGAAGCACATCTTACCTACTGGAATAAAAGGACTTATCCTCTCTTTGGGAAAGGAATAATATAGTGGTATAAAGTGCCCTGAGTTCTGCATTACAAAGAGAAGGTAGCCACAGTAGGACTGGGTTCTAGAATTGAGATGGACGTCTACTCTGAAGCTGCACTGTTCCACACAACTTTCTATACTGTCCATTGTAGTAGCCACTAGCTACATGTCACTG